CAGCCAGCCCTGCCCCCTGGTGGGCTGAGCTGGTCTCTCTCTCTCTCTCTCTCTCTCTCTCTCTCTCTCTCTCTCAAATAAATAAATAAATAAATAAATAAAATTTAAAAAAAAAGAGTGAACAATGATCCAATAGCAACCACAATCGCAAACTTAAGAATCACAAGTAGGACATAAATTCAAGCATCAAGAGCTAAGCAGAAACTGTGTTAGGAAAGACTAACACAAAAGTAGCAAGGAATAGCAGAGTGTAGTTTTCATGGAACCTTAATAATAGCCCAAGTTTACCTTTGTCAGGCCGGAAACATGAACACCAAATGCCTAGGAAAGTCTAGCAGATTGAGCAAACCCCTTAACAGGGACGTCTTATTTCTGAGGATCTTCTACCACATAGCAAATATATTTGATGTCCTTCACTCACTAACATCATGACTTATGTCATTACTATTGCTTTACTGATGCAGGATCCCATTTAAGAAGGAAAATGTTGTCCAGGATCTTAGGAAATACTGGGGCGTGACACAAAAGTGTCCCCAATTTCTCCAGCGTCAATACCCAATCCCCTCTGCCACTCTGTGCCACCCTCCTTTTAGGAGTGGTTGTTGACTGAATGGTTGAATATGCACAGCTCAAAACAAACAAAGCTCATGACATCATTTGATACTGACTGTGTCTGTGAGAACTTGAAAATGAAGTTAAAAATTAAGCGGAAAAGCCAAATTCAGCCTCTCTCTTCTGAGAATATGGGGTCAAATCTGGTTACTGTCTGATCACCACGTGGCTCATTAGTTATCGCTGTGAAACTCTGCAGAATTATCTGAAAGTGAAGAAGGGACAGAAACTCTCTCTTTGCAAGGTAGACTTATAGTCCAGGGCTTCGTTACTGGTTTAATGGTGAAGGTAAGAGTTTTTTTTGTTCTTCTTTTGGGGGAGGATGCTAATTCCAAATCTTTCCAAGATCCCTTAGTGGGATGGAACTATCTTAGAGGAAAATCATTGTTAGTAGTTTAAAGGTCTCCTTTTGGGAATGGGGTCTGGTTCCAAAAGGTATAAGAGACTCTCTTAAAAAAGGTGATTGATTTGATCCACTCTTAGAGTAAGACTTGTGAGGACACTGGTGCCAGCCAATGGAGTGAGAGGGATCTCTTCCTGACAAGTCCTGACTTCATGACAAGTCAGACTGGCTTTGAACACAGGATGAAATGCTGCTGGATAAGGTCCTGCAAGCTTTGGGCTTGGGATGGTGACTAATAAGTCTTTTCAGATTTCTATGCATATCTGAACCCATCTCTCAAGAAAGGGAGACCATGAAAGAAGTTGTGAGGAAGAGTGAAGGACAGGAAATGCACATCCTTGTAAGGCTCAGCCATGGGCACCTTTTAGCAATGCCACTGGAGGCCAGGGGAGCAGAAGCTTGAAGGTGCGGCCTTCCAACCACCCCTAGAAAATGCTGCTTCCAAATCTCAGCTCCTGCCTGCAGGAAAGGCACCTGTCCTGCTGTAATTGCACCTTAGCTTGGTCATAGCCCTGTCCTTTTCTAGTCACCCACCCTGGGTGCTCAGAACACATTGTCTTTTGCCGTGATCCATGCTAGAGTAACCCACTGCATCCCAGAACTGTAGATCCTCCAGCAAGGTGTGCTGGGTCCCAGTTTTGCTCACCCTGGAGAATCCTTCTTCCCATGTTTCCTGATACTGGTGTCAAGAGGAGCCCTCCACAACCCTCCTTCTGGATTCCTGTGTGGAAGAAAGTATTTTTAAAAGATTTTTTAAAAAATAATTTAACAACAAATCAAGACCTATTTTATCTGCTGTAAGCCTGTTCTTACTCATGAACCTAGGAGAGACCAAGCGCTAATGTGGCTGTTGTTGGTACTGCTGTTACTGGCATCAATAGCCTTCTACAGGGTATAATATTTTACAGGGCACAGGGCACACCTTGTACTTTGTTTTTATTCCAAATAGTATTGTGAGGTAATATTGTCCCCATTTCTCACATGAAACAATTGAAGTTTGTGAGGTTATGAAATGCTGTTTTGTGCAGGTCAAGAGTGGCAATGTGGAACCAAGGCCTGGAGTCCTCTCTGATCTACAGGTTCCTGCTCTTTGAACTTTGAATTTACCCTGAGTAAACCAGGGGCCTCAGCTCGCAGAGATGATGCAAGGCAGGTTGGAAGTTGGGGGAAATCTAGAGGAATAGAAAGGTCACTAAAAAAACACATCATGAGTTCTAGACTGAGAAGAACAGGAAAAGCACCCCTTAGTTTATGAATAAACCAAATCTAAATTGCTAATTTTATCTCAAACACAAGTTCTACTTTGTCAGGAAATTATTTTCTAAATGTAAAATTATGCTAACATAATGTGCCTTCAATTGTTTTATGTTTGCTTGCAGCTTTGACACTAGGATTCACTATTTGCTTTTTAGAATCATCAGTCTTGAATGGAAAGGTCATGGACAAAACGCTTGTGTTCAATTGTTTACAATTAGCCTGAATTATTGTACTACCTCTAAATGCATGTTAATCTCTCTGGTGCTCAGACTGCATAATTTCACAAATTCTTGTGATTGTTCTAAAAAATAGTCTCCATTATTATGCCACAGAATCATTCCAGTGTAGAATGTATAAGATATTGATTTCTATATTTGTCTCATGCAAAGGGTTAGAAAATAAACAATTGAAAGCTACTAAGACAAATTCAAATAATTAAAACTATAAAAGCCGTGCAGACTTTTTTTTGTATCCTTTCTCTTTAGATAGAATAAACAATGGGAAGGAAAATTGAAGTAATACCATTATGATACAACCCCACTAGCAAAAAAAAAAATTTTGTCAAATATTCAAAGCTCAAGTTAAAAGTATTTCCATCATCAAATTTCCTACTAGAGTATAGGATCAACACTTGATTTAAAACTACGAATTTTTCACTTATAACACATTAAAATGAAACACTCCTATTGTGTTTTGAGCTTACACTTAAAATGTCAAAGAAATAAAGAGGAAGTAGCATGAACAGGTACAAAACATAGCACTCCAGGCATCATAAGACCTGGTGCTGGTTCCCTGCATAGAGCTTCTTGAGGCAACTCCTCAAGCTTTCTGCACCTTAGTTTCCTCATCTGTAACATTTGGGCCAGAGCTCTCTTATTCTTTTTAACTTGATAACCCAGTGTTTATTTTTTTTATTTTTTTCCATAATTTTGTTGAGAAACAAATAGCAATGAGAGAGTTTCAAATCAAATTGGTAGAACAGTTGCAATAATTAACACATTGCATACTCTCTTCCTAGTAGTTATTTGATGTACAAGATGGAGACGTGATATCCTATTTACAAACACTATTAGAACACTCTATTCATTAAGAGAATGTAACTATATACCTATCCTAACCATGTTGAATACACAGATACAAAATGGACATGCATCTGTATCCCCTTTTTTGTTAAGTTCTGTTATTTGAATATTATAGGTGTGTTAACTCAGTAAAATATTCTAAAAGAGTCCAGTAGCCCAAACTTGGATTGGGTCTTCCGCTTCACTGACAATGTCAGAAATTGTTGACCTGAGTCCCCTACAGCTCAACATAACAGCATGGCTTTACTTCTTATATTTCGTTTTTATACTTTTCTGCTGGATAGTTAAGACCAAGGTAAAGCAGGACCTATGCAACAAGAGTTGTAGCTTTTGGATCTGATAAGGTCAATCAAATCCCCTCAGGATTTATCCTGAGAGCCAGTACGAGTCATTGGAGAAGTCAATAGCACGAATTTCAGTATAGCACAATCACGGTAATGGTATGTGCAGAAAGAGAACAGCCTTCTTCCAAATCCTGGGCCCTTACATTACAAGAGAAATCAAATAGCAAATGATGACAATCCAAGTTTGGGCTCAGATGACTGCTGGGATCTGAATGCAGAGAAGTGGGCTCCACTCCTGCTGTGCACGAGCGGGACCTAGCCAACATCTGTCCGGGCCTAACATCCTCTTGCCAGCAGCTCAGCCTTGACGTGGGACCACTGTCAACAGATGGGAGAATTGTAAAACTCGGATGGGGAGACATTATTCTCAGAATTCTGAGCAACTGGGCAAGCAGAAAACTATTCTGACCAGGCTTCTGATGAAGCCTGGTCTTTATTTAGCTTCTTCTGGATACTAAGTGAGTATCCACTAACTATTTTAAAAACTTAGTAAATACAGAAAATTCATAAAGGATAACATGCCCATTCTGTTTGGAAGCACAGAAACAGCCACTGCAAGCATTTTTATGAATCTGTTTCTTTGTATATTAATGTACACATTGCATCCTGCTTTGTACTCAAAGCTCAAAGATTTCCCCTACTTTATTTCTATATCTTTGAAAGCACTATTCTAACAGAATCCATAATTTAAAAAAAACTATCAAAATTGACTTGCAAAATTGAATTACAGTTAGGTTAATTTGTCTCCAGTATTTTCTTATCATAACTTACATTATAGTGGATGTTTTTGAGGGAAAAATCATTCATTTCTTTCCTTACATTCTTCCATCCCAAGTTCATTGATTAGGAACATCTTTAAGGAGGTAGTCTCCTGTAATTTGGGTGCAGAAACAGTACAAAGCCTTGGGATATAAATAGGATACCTAGGGCTGGCCAGATAGCTCAGTGGATTAAAGCATCTGCTTAGGCAGACGCAGGGGCCTGGCTTTGATTCTTGGCCTGCTGTGCTGGCCCTGCCCCTGGGACATGCTGAGAGAGCCATTGAGACAGGGCATGGTCTCCCGTGCCTATAATCCCACCACTTGGGAGGCTGAAAACAAGAGAATACCAGGAGTTCAATCTGTGTAGTGAAACCCTGTACACCCTATACTAAATGCATATATATAAATAAGATACAAGTGTTTTTTCTATTTATTTATTTTTTGTATTTTAGGGAAGGATCTGCAGGGTGTTAAGGGTCTCACTACTGGATCAGACTCTAGTGATTCTCTTGTTTACAGCCTTTCAAGTGCTGGGATTACAGGCGTGCACCACCATGCCCAGTCTCAATTGCTGTCTCAGCGCACCCTGAGAGTGGGGGCAGCTCACAGGCCCTGGAATCCAATCCCCGGCCCCTGGGCTTGCTTATAGGCACTTTACTCTGCTGAGCTATTTGACCGGCCCTGATACAAGTGTTTTTAAGGTCATGGAAGATTCACTTTCAGAATAGACATTGTGTGTGTGTGTGTGTGTGTGTGTGTGTGTGTGTGTGTGTTACCCAGCATCAAATTCAGGACCTTCAACTTGGCAGGTAGGCTCTTATGCCACTGAGCCATATCCCTGGCCCTACTGATAATATTCTTAAGATTGAGATTTTTCATGTATATATAAATAGGTAGAGATAGAGATAGAGATAGATATCCAAGAAGAGTTTGATTAATGTATAGATATAAAACTAAATATGTACATTTTGGGGATCATAAATTCTCTCAGTCTGTCAAAAGAGCTAGTTTTATATTCACTATTTTAGTCAAAAGTATAATTTTGCAGGTTATTGAAGACCTTGTTAGCCTAGTGAGTTGTCTAACTTGTGTTTGCAAACAGCATTTTGAACCTTAACGTATAATACATACAAATAATTCACAATCAGTTTTTTCATGTTCAAAAACACCATAGAGCCGAGTTCCAATTGTCCTGAGGGAAGAGACACTTGCTGAACTGAAAAACCATGTCTCACAACTGCTACAAACTGCAACATGGTTCTCTGTGGTCTGACAGAACCTTCAAAATTCTTTTCCTTAATTTTTATACTACTACTTAGAAAAGAGCTCTATCATTATTGTACATGAGAGAATGGGTAGCTGAAGAATTTAAGTGACTAAGTCTAAGAATTTATATGGAGGTTTCTTTATAAAAGTACAGCCTTCCAAAAGCGTAGAGAGAGTGCACTGGCAAATGAAAACAATACAGCTGTGCTGAGTCAAAATTTCTAGCGATAGCAGCTCAGCGGATTAAAGCTCCTGCAAGCAGCCGAAGGGTTCGATCCCCGGGCCTGCCATGCCGGCCCTGCCCCCAGGGCTCGCTGAGGCGGGGGATTGAGACTGGGCGTGGTGGCATGCACCTGTAATCCCAGCTCTTGGGAGGCTGTAAACTGGAGGATCACTACGAGTCCAACCTAGTAGTGAGACCCTGAACACCCTGTAGGCCCTTCCCTAAAATACAAAAAATAAATAAATAATAAATTTCTAGTGATGATGACAAGAGGCAACACTATCAAGAAGAAAAGATTTGTGTGTCATATTTTGGATTATGTTCTTACCGCAGATAAAAACCTATGGTGGTGAAAGAAGTTTAGGGGAGTGGGAAACTCCACCACGAAGTGTGGTACCAATCCCTGAAGAAGCCAAATGGACGTGAAGCCTCCCCCGCGGAAAGGTAAGGCGAGGGCTCTTGAGCTGACGTCCTCCCTTGCCGCTCTTCCCTCGTGCTGTTCCTTGGAGACACTCTTAGTGGAACATCAGAATCAGCTTCGGCCCACGCTTTTGTTCATGGCTGCTTTTCCTTTCAAAAAGGGATTTATCTACTAGATAATCTATCAGAAATCAAGCCGAGTAATCAGTGAACGCTAGGATCTAAGGGGTGAAATGAGTCTTGAGAAAGTACAGCGGGGCCGCATGGCCTCTGCCAAGATGTACCCAGGTTCGGCTGAGGGTGAGGCGGGAAGGAGGCTCTTGGCGCGGAGCTCACTGCTTCTTCGCTGCTCCAGGTACGGACTTCTGCTCGCTGCGCTACGGGCTGGCTCTGATCATGCACTTCTCCAACTTCACCATGATCACGCAGCGCGTGAGCCTCAGCATTGCCATCATCGCCATGGTGAACAGCACCCAGCAGCACGACCCACACAACGCCTCCACGGAGGGGGCTCTGGCAGAGGCCCCCCACCACCCGAACAGGTCCGGCGAGGAGTTTAAAACAAGGGTAAGTGAGCTAGACAGCAAGCCTCTTCATCAAGAGAGAAAAACAGTTCAAAAGGAAGGCTCAGATCTTGAGTCTGTAGAGCAGAGGAGCATAGTAGAATTTTCAGGGACAAACTAAGAGGCTAAAATTGTTTTTCTTTAAGAAATTGGTGAACCGGCGAGATAACTCAGCGGGATAAGCGCCTGCTTAGGCAAGTGCAGGGACTGGAGTTGGATGCCCCTCACCACATGCTGAGCCGGCTCCGCCCCGCAGGCCCACTGAGCCAGGCGAGTTCGGGTGTGGAGGTGCGCCCCTATAATCCCAGTGCTGGAGAGGCTGAAAACAGGAGGATCGCTACAAGTCCGAGCTGCTTAATGAGAAAGAAAGAAGAAAGAAAGAAAGAAAGAAAGAAAGAAAGAAAGAAAGAAAGAAAGAAAGAAAGAAAGAAAGAAAGAAAGAAAGAAAGAAAGA